TTTTCCTGGTGGCACTGACACATTAATAACTCACTACAGCCCTTCATGCATGTCTAGCATGAACATGGTAGTGTATTCCTACAAGATAAATGCGTTTCCCCATTTCTGTAGCCACAGGTTGTCATGCTTCTAGCCCTTGGGAATGGCTAGGCTGGAGAAAGTTGCCAGGCCAGTGCCACCCATGAGGGCTGTGCTGGGCATCCATGTAGTTCTTGAAGGAAGGGAGCCACAGTGTAAAGGATGAAATGCTCTGATGGCTCTGAGGATCTTACGGGGTGGGAAGACATGGCAAAACATGGTGGCATGGACTTTGGACCTTCCTGATGTTAAGAAACTGTTGTTGAGCATTGCCTTGTCATTATGCTGCTCCTTGGAAAGCTATAGATGAGACTGTAAGAGTATAAAGTAGGTTAAAAGGGATGAATAGGTCCCAGTTTCACCTGTCAGAAGGTTAAGGCCACAGCTGGAATTCACAAGTGTCTCACCAATTTGCAGTTTCTATTAAAATACATTTCAAGTCCTCAAAATTATTTTGGACAATTCTGTCTTGCGCATGAAAAATATATTCCTATAAAATGCTGTCTGTGAAAAACAGTGAAGGCTTGTGTACATCCCTGTTTCCATAATATATTTCCTGTACCAAGAGTGGTTTACCATAATTACTATATAAACCAATGGCAGCATAAAGCAGAGTGTGAATTTCAATGCTGCATTTTCCTTTTAATTTTTAAAGAATAAAAACTGAAATGTAGATAAAGAAAAAGTAAGCAATAAATTGTTCTGTAGTATTAGCCAAATATTCTGAGAAGACACTCCATCCACAGGCACCCATACCTGATGGCAGTTTCACATATCTTCTGGAGCACAATACTACTATAGCAAGTTTTACCACAGCCCAAACCAGGCACAACACTGTTACAGCTTCTCTGCCTGGTTTATGTGTCAGGAGTAAGCTTGGGGATATTATCTGAGTATCTGGATCAAAGATATACCCACCAAAAAAAAAGTCTTGTCCAGGTTTTGGGTTCCTAGGATCACTTTATTAAGCACCACTCATACCTATCATCTGGTCTGTGCACTAGGACTTGTAATAGCAGAATGTACTGTACTACACTCTGTACAGATACAGGTGTTTGCCCTTGTTCAGAATTAACATAATCTACACACTTTTTATTATTTGGAAGACTTCCAGTTATAATGTTTTTCAGATATGTGTTTTAATGTAGGAGCATAGAACAATAAGAGAGACCCTCTCTGTGTCTGACAATCATGAAAAGGTTGTAACTACAATCTAGGAAATCAATTGCTTCAAAATGCCTCCTAATCTTATGGTTCTCTATGGAAAGGCAGAACAGTAGTGAGCAACTACAGCCAAGGACCAGAGCTGCCTTCCACATCTTTCAAGACTGACTCTGCTGCTAATAGTCACTAAGCTTCAAGTGGGAAACAAGATATTGATTAGGTAAATCCAGCCACAACTCAGGATCACACAAGAATTTGGCCTTTCAGAAGAGAGGCGATACAATGGTCTCTGCCTTTGACATATCTTCTGATGATGAACTGAGAACAGCTGAGTAAACAACTTCTATGAAGCTTTTGTGTCATTCATGTAGGATGTGTTCATTTGAAAGTTCTTACATTTGGGTCTCTTTCGATTTCTATTCCACAAAATCATGTTTGTGATGCTTCACATGATGCTGAAATGTTGGTGTTTTCTGACTGATAATTACTTGCCCTGTTATTTCTTGTTTTTATTTGGGGGATATTTAGGTTGGATTGCTATTATAATTAACATGTTTATTTCCACATATCTTGAGAAATCCTTGGGCTCTTACTGGGCACCTTCTGAGGTGTCAGAAAGGTGCCTTTCTGAGAGTGAAGACAGAAGTCTGGTAGTCAGAGTGAAGAAGTCTCAGAAAAGCCACGTACAAAAAAAAATATTAATGAAAAGCTTTTCAGGAACAGCTATGAACAAGAAATGTTTTCCAATATAGTGATTTTTCACTTTGATTCTGGGTCAAATTTCTACCTGGTTTCCGTGTAACGTTTCTGATTTCTGCCAGATATGGATCTGGCTCATGTAGCTTTAGCTAAAATAATGGCAGGGCTTAGACTTCTGTATATATACTTATTACAATATACATAATTTCTGAAAATATGAAGAAATTTGTCCTTGCATAAAGCCCTCTAGAATCACTGGAAAAATTTGCATGGACTTCATTGGGTTATGGATCACATTCTGTATATATCTACATTTTAAAATCTTTTCCAATGCTTCCTCTTTCAATGGAAATTAATAGCCTCTTGGAATTGAAATGACCGGTTTCTGATTTAGTTTTGCATAAGAAGCAGAGTCCAGTGGGATTAAATATGAATGCTGGCTTGGTAATTCATTAATCATGAAAATATGGTGTGCAGTTAGTTATATAAGTGATTATTTTTGCACGGAAATGTCTGCTACTTTTATGCCTGAGCAGAAGGATCATGTCAAGTGCAGCAGTGAGAACTTACGAATACATTCACCTTGATATACTGTTTTATAAAGAACACGCAAAAATACATAAATGCTCTGTAGCCAATATTGATTTTGTAGATGTTAGCATAATGAGAGGTCAATGTGTCCAAGCAGCTGCTCTCAGTTATACAATTGTGGGGAGAAGCACCATATTTGCAAAGTTCTGCTGAGTCTTCTTTGAAATCCTCTTGGCCACATATGACCTATGTAAAATATTTTATTCTGTGAACTGAAAATGTAAACACTGCAGCTCCTGCTCATTTAAAAGTCTGAACAGTCAGATGAACAAGGCTGAGCTGGCCCCAAACAATGCTAAATTTTCCCCCTCCATACAGCTACAGTCTTCTGGGTCAGAGAAAAGGAACAAGTACAAGACTTGATGTGCTATTGGAAAATGGTATGCAGCAAGTTGCAAATCAACATAAGATGCAAGTCAGAGGTCTGTTGAAACAGGTTCAGTACTCGGTTTCCTTTCCTGCAGGCTTGCTGGAAGCTGAAATTCTGCACTGGACGGCGTAATTCAATATGTTTGGCGTATAAGAACTTGCCTCACTGGTACAGACCTCTTCTATCTAAAAATGATGGAAATGCTAGTTCTACCTTTGTCTCCTTCCAGTGTCCTTGCGTCACTGGCACCCCATTGTCTTTTCCAAGCACAATGGATAATGCCAAGCTCGATTCACTATGCTTACAGTTCTCAAGGCCAGATCTGTGACTGTAAAAAAAAGCCTCATGAATTCTCTCTTTTCTGATCATCGTTGCTACTTTATGGAAATGCGTTAGTTTCAGACTTTTATTTTCAAGTCAAGATGTAGGCAGATTACAGAAGTTTCAGGGCATGGCTCCTACTGAAGTCTACTTCTCTGAGAAAGCTGTGTCTGAAAAATGGTTCCAAGTTGAAAACTGGCCCAGTCACAATTTTTATTTCTTTTTTTTACATGGTGAAACACAGAGCCTGATTGTAAGGAAATATTTAAAATGTCTTCATTTCTTTTGCAAGTATAGTGGTATTTGTGACTGCAAAAGTAATCTGAACAATTTTCATTAATACAAATATTTTTAACTGAAGAGATTAATGCTCATATTCTTGTATCATTCCTCTTAGCTGCTGCTTTGTTCAGCAGCTAACAAAACACAGGCCAACCCAGTGCATCTCTTGAAGAACTCACAACCAAACAGCAGCAACAGAAGGGGAGAAAGCTGCACATAACAGGTGGAGAAATAGGAGAATGGAAAGATGGAGGGAATCAAGTATAAGGTCTCATGATTACTTAATCGCTATGCCCACATCTTGTTCCATAATGCATACAAGATTTCAGCCACCCAATCTACTGAAATCCTCCTCAGGACATGTCAGCCTTTACTAAACATCCACCTCTCATCCTGCTGGGTTATCCACCCCCCTTGGTATTTTGCTGTCTCCTGCATTATCCTTTTTTTTTTTTTCTTTATGTTCACACTGTATGTGAGTCTTAACATAGTGTTGTCCCACTGTTGCTCATGTTGCTCACTTAACACATGGGGATTCCTATGTTTCCCAGCTGTTCTCATCCCTCATCCTTACTATAGTACCTACTGTATTTAGCAGTGTCCTGGAAACTGGTCATTTTGACCACCACACACTGTAACTCAGTGTAGCATCTGAGGGATAGTGCTGGAAGGAGAAAGTCAGGTTCAGTGCTTCAGAGCACCCAGTGACTGTAAAGGCTAAAATGAGTCCCCCAAAAGGGACTTAATCATCATTGCTAGTACAGCAACAGGTTACCCCACTGCAGAAGGAAGACTTTTGTAAGCTACTATGTCCCTTCCCACCAACCCACTCGTATAGAAGGGCAAGTCTGCAAAGCTGATCTACCAACAACTCAGAGCAGACTGGTATTGTCCCTCACACCTACACACTGTACATATACTGCCTCAATATCTCAGTATGCCATTATATCTCAGAGGGAGTATCAGGTTAAAGGGTTTCAGCTCTTCAAAGACCAAGTCTGTAAAGCTGTCTGCAGGTCTGGGTTGGGGATGGAGTAGTGAAAATCGGGCTCCTTGAACGCCACATGGTGTCCCAAGTGGCTTTTTCTTTGTATTGCGACATCCTGAGGTGCTACGAGCCACACTCTGACATTCAAGGACCCTCTTCCAGATGGAAACCTCATGGCTAAACTGGGAGTCTGTCCTCACGTCTCATGGTCACGCTCTCTACATCAAGGGATTCGCATCAATTCCCTCTGCCCGGGGCTCCCCGCTGGGCACACGCACACCCCTCCCTGCCTCCCTCCCTGCCCAGTCGAGGGTGTCGTTTCCCGAGGGCTCAGCTCCGGGCCGGCCCCAGCCGCGATGCCGCCGTCGGGAGACTCGGGGCCCCCCCGCGCAGGGCGGGGAGGGCGCACCGGGGCTCGCCGAGAGGAAGGGAGGGCAGCGCCGGGGGGAGTGGCCCGGCCGGGGCGGCCTCATAAATAGCCCTCGGCGGGGCGGCGGCGGGAGGAGCCGTCGGATCTATCGGAGCCGTCGGAGCCGCCGCCGCGCCGGCCGCGGTCAGAGTCAAGTCAGGACCGCGGACAGCGCCCCCCACCCCGCGCCGCCGCCCCGCGCCCACCATGACGGCGGAGACCCACCTGCAGGGCGTGGAGATCTCGGCCGCCCAGTTCTTCGAGATCTGGCACCACTACGACTCCGACGGTGACTCCTTTTCCCCCCGGGGCGGCGGGGGCGCGGGGGGCGAGGGGGGCAGGCCCGCGGGAGGCTGGGGGGACCCCTCCGCTCCCCGCCCGGCGGCCGCCGCCGCAGCCTCGGGGCGCAGCCCCGCAGCCGTGAAGGGGTCCGGGCGAGGGGCGCGGGCGCCGCTCCGCCGGGAGCGAGAGACGGGCTGGAGACGTCCCTGTGCCGGCGCTGGAGAGAGGAGAGTTTGGAGGGAGCGGTGACGGCAAGCGTAACTCTTTGTGTTGTAGGCAATGGGTTCATGGATGGGAAGGAGCTACAAAACTTCATCCAGGAGCTGCAGCAGGCACGGAAGAAGGCAGGCTTGGTAGGTTAACGTTTGGCCCCACTTTTCTGTCTTCTCGGGAAAGAAGAGTTTTCTTGAGCAAACTCCAGTGCCCTGGTTCCTGTTGTTCTCTCTTGCCATGACACGGGTCATCCATCTGCCTCACCAGGCAAAGGGAAGTAGCTCGGTTAGAAATGAGCAGGTTGCAAGTGAAATAAATCGTCTGCTTTGGAAAGTTGAGACCAGGGTCTCAACTCACCCCCGTGGAGAGGGGGTCCCGCTCATGCCTTGCCAGGCTACAAGCTGATAACTTCTGACAGTGCTAAAACAGAAAAGTCAAGAAATACATGGATGTTGTCTTTTTGTCTTGGATGGGACCTTATCCCATTGCAATTAGTCTTATCTGATCTAGATATGTTCTCTTACTAAAATGGGAAAGGAAAAAAAAAGAAGAAAGAAAAGGTAAAGGGGTGGGGGAAGAAAAAAGAAAAAGAAAAAAACAACACTTCAAGGTAGTTGGACTCTGTTTTATTTCCATACCTAACGGGCAGCACGGGATGAAATGCATTCCTGCCCCTTGGTGGTCACTAAATAGATCTGCAGATGACTCCTAACCACTTCTTGCTCTTCACTAGGAGTACCAAATCCTGGCTGTGTAAATTGTTCAGAGAGACAGCGAAGTTTTTGACAGTGCTGTCAAAACTCTTCTGTGTATGAGCTATCGAAACATGAATTATTCATTTCCTCCAAACTATACCCATATGAGAAAAACAACAACAACAACAAAAGAAAGAAAGAGACAAAGAAATTAAAGATTCCATGTAAAGATTTGAATTAAAAGAGAAGTGAACATTTTTAACAAATAAATTGCCCTGAAAATAATCAGTTTCTTAATCAAGCCACCAAAATGCAATATATAACCTAAGGGAACTGGTTTAAATGAATCTATGCTGAAGGACTCTTGAAGAAACAGAGAATAAAATTATAATTACCTGGATGACATGTATACATGGAGGAAATAGATTATTACTTCATAATAAGAATGCCTCCAAATTGAGCAGTAGCGTTTCAATAATTAACTTTGTTTTGAAAGTTGCTGTATATTTTAGCAGTAAATGCAAAAAGAAAAAATTAATCTTCATTGATTTTGTGGAAAATTGAATCTTATTAATTGTATGAGTGTAAACTTTACACATATGAAAATCTGTCTCCCAGCAGTGCCTCTAATGTTACTGCAGTCTAGGTACCAGTTAATTCTTCTTAGAGCTATTGGTGTAGGCTCTCGTTTTCATGAATGCAAGTAAGTTTAAACTAAAATTAAAAATAAAATAAACCAAATCTAAAGTAAAAACAAACAAACAAACCAAAACAGCTAATTGGGACAGGAATGTGGGGGTTTTTTAGAGGGAAGAAGTATATTTTTTTCACACAGAAGATTAAACTCAACTTCAGTACGTTTCAAGTACTGAAGCAGAGCAAATCTCTCTTCTATACTAAAGTGCAGGAAACTTAAGTATACTCAGTAGAAAGAAGATGTTAAAGCATCTGTATGTTTAGTATGAATGGCATTGTTAGTAGAAATGCTAATATATTATTCAGTAGTTAAAAAAATAATTAGAACCTCAGGGACACAATATTTACCATTTTAAGATCAGATGCTTTTCTCTCTCAAATTATGCATGCTTCTCTTAAAAACAGAGTCTATTCAAAGCAACACAGAAAGCCTCACAGGATTATTCTTATCTGCTACAAATGTTATAATTTATGTTAAAATAACCCCTGCCTGTATCTCATGCTCTATTTTAAAAATGCTCTAGTGTCTAAGTTTTCCTTTCCCATTTCTTTAATTCAAACCTAACTTTGGAATGTTCCGCAAAGAGCAATCTATAGTAGCAACATCAAATTCAGCACTTGGTCTGTGGGCTCTGGAGTACAGCTATATGTCATTTATGTTTCAAATCTAACATGATTTTTGGATTTAAAGGCTCATTTGCCAAACAAGCAACTCATTAGTTCATTTCTTGTCTCATAGGATACTAATGCAGTAGCGTTGAATTTTTTTGCTAGAAGGGACACATTGAAAAAGTAGTGTAGGTTATATGTAATTTCCTTGTCTGTCCTTCTTTTAACACCCCAAAGCTTCTTTGTCATCATTAGGTTCTGCATTTCAGGTCATTCTCCTCGCTATTTTTGAAATATTCAATTATGAATTCTTCATAGCTGAATTTTGCATCAGTCATGCCATTTGCATTAAAGAATCACATTGATTCTGTCATCAAATAGGATGGTTTAATATTTCCCAATATTCTTCCCAACCACGGAACTGTTCTAATTATTGTTCTAATGCTAATCCTTGTATTAATCCACTTGGTAAGCCTGTACTTTCACAGCTGTTTTTTTCTCAGACAGAGCGTGCAGCTTGATTCAGGCTAGTCCCAGTGGGGGGAATGTGTACTCAGAAGTTTTAGGGCTTGGGCTTAACGTTAGGCCTATTTGCTTCATGCATTATGGTAGACAGTGAATTGATCTGATATAATTTCAGTCACGTTAAAAGAACTACCTCTTTTTTAAAGATAAAAGCTATATAAGTATATAAGCTTTCATTTATTGTGCCCCACATTTATGCAATACATTCCCTATTTGCCAATAGACACTTTGGGATAGAAGGGATTAATACAGAAGCTGATAAAGTGTCAATAGGTGGGCATTGGCTGAACTATTCCACATTTGCTTCTCACTTTTCCTGCATATATAGATAATGACAATATTTCTCCACAGAAATACGATTTATGCATACAGTCATGTAAGTGTTTCTGTAGTGCCATCTATCCTTACATTTTCAAGTTATATAAAAAACCACTATTTTTTTTCTACAGTTCCACTTTTTGGACAAATTTCTGTTCTGAGGTGTTTGACTGAGGTGTGAAGGGCTAGTTTCTTAATTTCAGAAACTGAATACTGCATCTGTATCAAGTTTGGAAGTAAACTTGGTTAAATTTAGGCAAGTTTTTTTGACCAAAAATATTTATTTGAATAATATAACTTCAAAATCTCATCAAACAGCTGAAGAGCAGGTGAAGTGAACAGCAAAAAAAAACCCCACAATCATTTCTGAATAACGAACTAAAGGACAAGCATCGTGTTTTGTTTAACCTGTAATTGACTGTGCCTCTTTCCATGGCTGGACACTGCCTGGCACTGCAGAGCTGCTATTGGAAAGATTAGTAAAATATTTAACCAAGACTAATTAAAATCCAAGTGTCTAAATTCTCTACTCTATGTGCTAAGCAAACTTGTCCCCACTTTGGGATCATTAGATGAAAGGTGACTTTGAAGTGCATTGTATTAATAACCACATCTCTAATTAAAGCCATGGCAAATTACTAACCTGCCATGGATGACTTTGACCGAAATAGGATACTAGGCCGTGACTGTATCAGCTACAAGGAACTGACATTTTAGTTAGCTCTGGTAGTGAAATTTGGGACAAACTACTATGGACTTTGTACAGCTGAGACTGCCCATGTCTCCAGTGAGAGAATCACTTAGGTCCTATATAATCAGATCTATTACAGCAACTAAACCTTTAATTTCCAAAGTTTGCTGTATCTTTATCTATAGCCATAGATTTGTGCATTCTATTAATATAACTGTAACCTTGATTCATGCTGCATGGTTTCAACAGCTCACACCTATAAAAAATACAATGAAAATTAGAAGTTTGATCAGTATTGAAGGTTGATGGCAGCCCATGTCAAAGAAAGACAAGTCAAGTTGAAGTGTGAAATCAAATATTTAGATATTCATCCCAAGGCTGGCATATTTTCCTAGCCTAGAATGAGGATAGCCTTAAGAAAGCAGATGTATAGCAGGCACCAAAATTTATATGAAGAACAATGATGGCTTTATTCCGTCAGATTTAAGATTTTGCTCAAAGTTTTCTTCCTCCTAAATCTGCCTCTCTACAGTTCAGCAGTGACATTTTGACTCTGTTTCCATGATAACCAAACACAAAACAGTGAAAAATATGATACTGTGATGAGTTCTTTTAGGACTAAAATAGCATCTATTGTTCAGGAAAAATCTACTCAAAGATGGGGAAAGGCTATTTTGGTGTTGAGATGCCTTATACTGAATTTTTCCTTATTTTGAAAGATTTCATACTGCCTTCAAGTTACTAATTTAAAAATGAAAACTTAGAAAATGGACTAATAATTGCCTATGAACTACATTGTCATGCTCTTAAACAAAGGAGATGTGATACACATCTTCCAACACACTTGTCTTTATAATTTTTTCTTTCTGTAAACTAAAATAGAGTTCTAAGTATTTAAATGCCAATCATTCACACTGACTTTAATGTAATTCCTTAGGAAGTAAAACTTATCACAGTGACATTATTCATGATAAAAAAATACTCATTTTAATTTAAACTTGAGGAGTCTAGCCGTGATAAGTGTATTTCATTAAATGTAGAATATTGTTTTGCAACTAATGGAATATTCAAGTAAGTTTACATATGTTTCTCTGTATCTTGAAGTAATTATTCTATCATTGAAACTTTGTAGGATTTAACACCTGAAATGAAAGCTTTTGTGGACCAGTACGGGAAGGCTACTGATGGAAAAATAGGAATAGTTGAGGTAAGATTGTTACTTTGTAATGAAAGACTAACATGTTTACTTCAAGAAAATACATTTAGCACAAAACAATGTGAGCATATTATCCTTTGGATTTTTAGTTACACAGAATATGTCTTCCTCTCTCTTAAGATCTTTAGCATTTTTTTCACTATTGAATTTTTTTCATTTACAAAAAGTAGGGAATTCCTTACCACTCTGCAGACATTGCAACACACTTCATTTAACATTTTTCTCTTTATTCAGTACAAATAAGCATCAGCAGCAATTTAGTTTTCCTGAAAAGCCGATAAGAGCTCCATTTTAGAAATTTAAATTGTGAAAGGTAATGTCATTTATTACTATGTGTGATTTTGAACTGCTGGTCTGTCACCACTCTTATAGTGAGGATAATACACAAGTGAACACAATTGGGCAATCACGGTATGTAGTCTACTATAAAAAACTAATATTTATGGTACAATATCACGTTACTCAAGTTAAATGTAAACAAAATTTTAATAGTAGTTGTGATCTAGGGAAAGATTAGGATTTCTTATTAATTCCTTTCTTGAACTTTAACAGAACTTCAGGCAGAAAATTGTCATATACTCTCACTTTCTGAAGAGGTTAAAGATAACCAGCTTCTTTACCTTGTGTAGCTGCTCAACAATTGTATCATTTAGGCAACTTGCTAGGAAAGGGTTTTCTCCCACTTTCACTCTTCAGTGCTGCAAGTCAAAAAGGAGAGTTCGTGGGGTTACAGTTTGAGAAGTCACTTTTTTGAGCCTAAATTGACGACTCGTTTATGTCACTTTGAGTGCAGTGAGACTGCAGTTTTATTATTAAATGATATTATATTTTTTCCCGATAATAAGAAATCTGACCTAGAGAGCTAATTAGGGAATAGCTGGAAACAAGCCAGGCCTGAAAAATTCTACAGTGACCAACTTTGGGTCAGTAGCTAATTTTAAAATAGAGGACTGAATAGAATCTGTAAAAGTCAATAGGAAGTATCACTGCTGATATAATACATAAAGATATGTTTTCTGTTATTTGTCTCAATTTTATATACTTGTTTAAATGCATGTGTAATTATGACTAATCTACCATAGAAATATGAACAGTTCGTTTCACTTGCAGCTGTAATTGATTTTTAAAAATGCATCTTTTGACCATACTTAGTATTGATCAAATAGCTCTGCATCTAGAAACAACTCGTGTTTATTTGATCTAACAAAATGTTTGGGTTGGGACTAACAAACACATATTTATTTGGTATCGAAAAATCCTACTTAGTTTAGTCTTTTTGAATATGTGTAATAGCAAGCACTGGATGCAAGAAGAATGTGTGAACAGTGCCTGGAAAAGACTGTGCTTCTTCACTTAGGAAAGAAAACTGGAACTTTTACCTTTCAAATTATTTTTCTAATTCTGATATTGAGTTAATGGGTAAAGATGAGCAAATCCAGTAGGGTCTGATATGGCTCACCACCCCCAGAGAAGCGTCAAGCATGCTCAGCATCCACGGAAGCTGCTGAATAGTGATAGTATTGAGTCCGGTGACTGAAGGGACTTTCTCCCTTAATATAGCAGTTTCCAAACCCAATAGCTATATTTTATTTCACTTACATCAGCATGAAGCTTGATTTGGAAAGCACTGATGGAACTCATAAAAAGTGTTGTACGTGCAGAGCAGTATGAAATTAAATTTGGTATTTGGACTTGATTCTCCTTCCTTATTAAAAAAAAAAACCAACAACAACAAACTCCAGTTATTCCAGATTGCTCCCATTCACATAGTATATCAAATAATTTTTCTAAAAAAGTGCGTGAAGGCTGTTTAAAAAAAAATTATGTACAGCATTCACACTCCCAACCATCATTATGAATACCCCAGTATGTGACAAAAAATGCACGAGCGAATAATGAGTTTTCAGGGAAGGTCTGTTGACTGAGATAAAGAGGAGGCCTGGGTGGCTTCACAAAAGAAAGAGTGGATTTTCAGATCAGATTAAGTGTCAATTCTGTCTTTGCAAGCACAGTGCAGTTAGTTAACTGGCTTTAATCAAGTGCTCTCCAGCTAAAGGCAAAGTCTGACCTGTTCACTTTCTTGTCATTGTGTAAGAGACCTTTAATTCACCTTTTGTACTCATTCAGACCAACGCTTTCACTAAAATGTACTTGTGAAACCAAAGGTTTCAAAACTCGGAACTGCAGCAATTCTACGTTCAAATTATTTGAAGATTACTGCTGCCATAAAAATATCTACTCATTAGCCTAAAATATTCTTTGTCCTCCCATGCTCTATTATAGGATTTTAAAAAAGCAAATTCACTGTATTAGGTGAAAGGAATTTTAAATAGCATTAAATCTCAATGGAATTTACTTAGAGAATGATTCCTAGAAAAGACTTCTGATTTAGGCACTGATAGTATTTTTTCAGCTAGGTAACCTATAAAGACACATCTAAGCCTGCAGTTGAGCAGAGAGGAGTCAGACCAGTGTCAGGCTTTGTGGTTGTCCTCTATTATTTGTGATACACAAATAACCAACATTCTCCATAAAAGTAGCAAGTTTCACTTATCTATTATTGCTGCCGTACAGGGACTCACAGTGGTCTGCATTCTTACTCAGACATTCTCATGAAGTCCCCCTATGCTTATCCTCACAAAGAAGTTATGACTTGAAATAGTACCAGGTTTCCATCTTTCTTCTCACTAGAGGTACAAAACTGGAAAGCTGAGCCAGTTTCCGCATGACCTTTTCATCCCTTAATACTGCAGAGTTTGCCATGAAAAACAATTTAATGCTTTCCCCTGAGACATAGAAAGAGTGAGAGTTATAGCTTAAAATAAGGTCATATATTCTGTACCTCAAATACATTTTGGTACTGCTAATAAGCTGTTAATGATTCTTTGGACAGTTACTATTTTACATTCACCCTTGCACCTTGTACTATTTTACAGCGCCCTTGCAAAATTCACAGGACTTACCTATGTCACTGAACGACATCTTATTTATAACTTCCCCACATGCAAACCATTTCCCACTGTCATAACCAGTCCCTTCCCCCAAACTCTGCTTTTTGTTCTAAGCAGTTCTTCCATTCCATTTGCTGTTAAATAGGAATTCACTCTAAAAATCAAAGCTTGTCTGTCATGGGAGAAATAAAAACATTTTTCCATAAATCAAGACACATTTAGCTACTGCGTCTGTATGAATATAAGCTTACCCACATGTGTATATGCTATTTATAATGGAGTCGATTTTGAAAGCTGCTGACAAAAATGCATTGTTCAAGTTCCTTTTGGTTTGGTGTTCAGCCATTTAGCAAAAGTACTCAGAAGGCACTGATGGGTCTGACAACCTGTCATCAGCTGCGCCATTTCTGTAAGGAGAGTGCTCTGATGTGTCTTTTCAGTTGTACCAACAATTAAAGAATATAACTGATTCCTTGCATAGATAATTGTAGAGAAACAAGAGATATGTCTCCATAGTCTTATTGTGCCTGTGGGGTGAGAGCTGAACTCACTTATGGCTCAGCTGGATCCCCCAAAAAAATAAAAAAGCCTCAGCAATTAGGCAATAGCACTGAAATAGACAGAACAAGGGATTTGAGGATGTGAAATGAAGGCAGAAAAACAAAAATTTGAATCAAAATTTTAAGATGGGACTCCAGGAAGTCTGCAGATGTCATTTTTCATTAAAGAATTCAGCTAAGAAATCCGTCTTTCTCCATTTTCTCTTCCTAGTAAGCACAGCTGGTCTATTCTTCAAGTAAAAAGTTTTCTTTAATCAAAACACATTTCATACATTTTGAGGACAGGAAAAAAAAATTGGGCTTTTGTTAAAAACAAATCGTGATTTTACGTTAAATTATACAGCAATGCTCTCCATCTTCTACATTTTTCATTTGCCAAAATTGAGTTATAGTAAATGAACATTTGCAATAATCAGTACAATAATATGTCTGATTTTAAAAAAGCCTTTTGTAGAGGAGAGGCATTGGAAGAACCACCCTTGGTTTTGCAGGGCTAAAAATCCTTTTGATTTCTTTGTGGCATTTATAGCTCTTTTTGAACACATCTCTAAGTCTGACATTTGAGCACTCGTTACAAACCCTTACCCTCCCTGTTTTCTTTTCTTTCTCCTGGCTTTTCCTTATATTTAACCATTTGCCTTACAAGTGTTCTTTATGTGTCAGCATTCCTCTCTCTTCCTCTTCCTGTCCCAGTCTGCCGAAAGGCAAGCTGATGGGGAAGATGACCAGTCTGGCTGAACAGGGAGATTTTGAAGGAAATTAGGGTAAAAAAAGAGAGCCTACTGATTATGGAAAAAAGGGCTGGCTACTCAGGCAGAGTTTAGGAGCATAGTTAGGTCTCGTCAAAAGAAAATCAGAGAGACAAAGGAAAAACTTGAACTTGATCTTCCTTGCTATTGTGAGTAGTCCATTTTCCTCCCTTTCTTCATTCATGGTCCTTCACTCGCATCCTCGATGCATTCTTCATGCCAATTCAATGGTTTTCAGTATGAATCCTAGCTCTGCATGGGTGAATTTTTTCCCCTTTCCCCAGCTACCCTTTTGGTAAAGTGCTGCCTCACTCCCTCCTCTCAGACTCAGTTAAGTTTGACCTTGATGAATACGGCAAAGCTGCAAGCCAGAAGCCTTTCAGAGCCTTCTTTCAAACATTTCAGCTAGCAGGATGAAGCTTCCTATGGGACCACTGTAGGGCAGTACGAGCACAAACAATTTCATATGCTTTTAAAAAGTTTCTTGCTCAGCTGGCCTAATCAAGAATCAAAATTTAATCTTGCATAAACTGTGTTACAGCTTGCTCAGATATTGCCAACGGAAGAGAATTTCCTGTTGTTCTTCAGATGCCAGCAGCTAAAGTCAAGTGAAGACTTCATGCAGGTACAGTATGAAAAGCTGCCTATTGTAAAGACTTGCTTGCCATAAATATATCATTAAAGCATTCATATTCTGATTGCAGACATGGAGGAAATACGACAGTGACCACAGTGGCTTCATTGATTCTGAGGAACTTAAGGTAAAACAATATCTATGAGTATGCATGACATGAGAACAGGTGTTGGATTACAGCCTTGCTGCTATCTCTTTCTTCAGATACCCACCCGTGCATGTTTTTTGCATTTCAAACACAACAAAAAAGGAATATAATTAGCTGATGTTTTTATTGCCACTAAATTATTTAAAGTGAAACCCTAATCTGATTAATGTGTTTTAAAACATGTTTTAATTCAGATCAAGTTTGTCTCAAGTGACTCAGGGTAGCAGTTATCTTGGAAGTAAGAAAGATTAGGAAAGCAAGATGGGCCTCTGGAAGCTTAGTTGGTTAATTTTTTTCCTTTTCCTAAGGGCATTTCTACCATTAATCACAATGCTGCTGGACAGATTATGCTTTCTCAACTACCATGTAACCCTACAGTTTCCTCTGTAATACTGTTAGACTAATGGAATTGTACGACCCTTGCTTGGTTAGTCTAGTAGGATTTTGGTATCAGCTTTAATATGCACAAATAAGAGCAGAATCGAGATGATTCCATTAGCCATCTCAGACTTGCAGAAGCATTAAAACTAGCGTGATTTTACTTCCCTAGTCATACAACCACCATCAATTTGTAGATGCTGTGTCTTCTCTGTCACAGAGTTACAGACTGGTTGTTAGGGACCTCTGGAGGTCACCTGGTCCAACCCCCTACTCAAACAGAGCCACTTAAAGCCAGTTGCCCAGGACCTTGTGCAGACAGCTTTTGAATGTCTCCAAGGAGGAAGACTCTACAGCCTCTCTGGGCAACCTGTGCCATTGCTCAGTCACCCTCACAGTGAAAACATGTTTCCTGATGCTCCTCTTGTGTTTCACTTTGTGACCATTGCCTCTGGTCCTGTCACTAGCCTGGCTCCATACTCTTTGCACCCTCTCTTGAAGGATTTATATACTTTCATGATGTCACCCTGAAAATCCTCCAGGCTGAAGAATCCCAATTCTCTCAGCCTTTCCTCATAGGAGAGATGGTCATATTCAATAGCATCTGAGTAGAAAGGTGCCATTTTCCACAGTTAATTGCACTTCATTCATAACTGTAGCTTTACATTCAAAGGAATCAAAGCAATTCATAGCAAGAGAAAGGCCTCGCAGTGCTTATCCATCTAATTTGGACTATTTTGCTCATATGTCATATAAAGAAGAGTTATGTAAGTTTTATTAACTAAAGCACCAGGAGATCAAACTGTTCAAAATCATTACAGATCTTCTGTTCAGAAAAGGAATCCACATCAGAAAATTCACTTCTTTTTTTTTTTTTTTTTTTCATTTTTCCTTCCTATTTTGAGTTTGGTATCTGTGTGACATTTGCTGAGGACTTAACCTTAAGGTAACCCTCAGGCAGATGAGCCCATTCTCCTGCTGACTGGTTGCAGGAGGTTGGTGTGTCTAAAGTTGGTAGGATCAGGAGGAGGTAGCCCTTGAGAACACTCCAGCTGTTAGATAATGCCTTAAGGACTGCTGCTGACTGCTATAACTTAAAATAGACTTAAAAAGGCAGGGCTGATTGAGGACCAGCTGAAGAATGAAGACATTTTAACTGAATTCCTATTGGTCCCATCTCTTATATTGTGAGATTTTTGTCTGCCTCAGAGAAACAAGTCATTTTAACATGTTGAAAATGAGACATAAATACGCAGTTTTATTTTTAGATAAGCACAAGCATTTTAAGTATTTGCTATGTGAGGAGTACACCCACTGACAACTTTGTAAGTGAAATTCAAGCTGGAAATCAGGAAAACTTTCTAACAATAGTAATGGCAGTAGAATATGTTGTCTAAGGGGGAGGCAAACTCATCATCACTGTGCTTCGGAAAGGTTTGGCAATAGCTCAGATCAGACAGTAATTCAGGAAGTTTAGATAGACATAATTCTTTCTGGAGACATGGAGACGGACTAGATAGACTTTCAATGTCCTTTCCAGTTCTATTTTCCATCAGAGGACACAAGATTAAACACATCTCTGCAACATCTACTTACTGAATTTCAGTCATGTTCTCCCTATACAAACTACCAGGAAAGGCCTCCAGCATGAAGGGGGCCAAACTTAAACTACAGCGGGTATTAGTTGTATAACTATGGACATAGTTGCATTCAAGTTCAGGACAACAAGTATGTTTTCTTATATGTTTTCCCATTTTCTGTTGTGAAATGTGGCCCAAAATTCCACAAAGATAATGACACTCCAGCTGATGACAGGAATTAGGTGCTTTATTGAGCATTGACAGCCATACAGACCTATCAGGTCTTGTAATGCCCTTGCTAAACAATTTAGTATCTTTCTTTTTTTTAATGTCACAGATTTGGTGCAGAAATTTAAACACTGGAGAGGTGAAAACTATGTTATTTTTTAAAGTAAAAATGGTTAGTGTTTCAAGTCATGTGGCATCAAATTCTCATTCTAAAATGCAATGAAATTGGCTGCACACATTTAAAGTACAAGGTAGGAAGGAACAGTGTTCAATTCTAGCAATGGTTGCTGCCACAGGTAAGGACAAAACTTGATTAATCATTGATCCTTTCTGTAAAATTGTTCCTATGTTTCAAGAAGGAAATAGACATGCAAGTTTTCAAGGAGACTCAAGGTTAATTAGTTTAGTTTACTGATACAGCTGATTAGGAAGCAGTATTCTTGAAAGCCAAACATTTTCCAAATTCACAATACAACAAATGGCATGCAATGTATAAAGTTTTAGGAGTCACTTTTTCCAAATACAATGCAGTGTACTTGAACTTATCAAAATAAACTCTTATATTCTTAGCTGTTAGTAAATAATTTTTTTCATACTTATTTGGAACTTCAGCAGTAAATACTAAAGTGGAAGTAAAATAGTATTTCTCATTACTTTAACCCAAAGTTAGCAAGTCAAATATTTTATACTATAGATAAAAATTCACCTATTACTCTTCTATTTAACAGAGCTTCTTGAAAGATTTATTACAGAAAGCAAATAAGCAGATTGAAGACTCAAAGCTAACGGAATACACAGAAATAATGGTAAGATTATTTAAAGGAATAATGGGTAAATCCAAACTCCGTTTAGCCACCAGAAGGCTCCAAATGACTTGGTGACCAACCAGGTCCCAATCAGGCTAACTATGTGGCATCTAGCACTAGAAGTACTTCTGCAGCTGCAGTTTCCATGGACAGCTTTCAGTGCTGCATAAAAAACAAAAGCCTGGAAATTTCTAAGCTTCTTGGTATATATATGGCACATCATGCTATTTTCCTGTTTTCTTTCCTTGTGCCATTAGTTGTAAAACTGAAATCTTCACAGTTAGGAGGAAAACTGTTCCTACTGTCATAATTACATTATTTTGTTTAGATCAAATTAATTTGGAGTTCCTTTCTATATTTTGCCTTCTTACAGTGCTGTGATGTCTGTCTTGTCTTAAAAGCCATCACTGCACAGTGGCTTCTTACCAGACTTACGAACACCTCACACTTTCCTTCTTCCTCTGCTTCAAAAAGGAGAAACTGATGTTTTAGATAGACACTATAACAAAACTGTTGCTTCCCTGACCTTAAATCAGCCCATCTTTGGAACAATTCTTCCATCCCACTGCTAAAGCACTCCATGGTAAGGACCAGTACTGGCTTCTGTGTGGGCTTTTCAAAACAAAAAAGACAGAATTCTGGTCTTCAGGAAACATATAACACTACATTTATTATTGGCTTGTTTTCATCCTAAAATATTTTTAGCAATTTAAAACATGCTAGGTAAACACCCTAGCCCTCACATTGGCTTAAGAATGGCTGAACAAAACTTGTGTTTCTCCTGGAAGATGTCTACTGGTTCGTTGTACCAGCATAAACCATTTATTTAGGATTGTCACTGTTTATTCACTTGTGAAGATAAAAATGTATCCTTTTCATTCAGGGAGCTTTTTAACCTTCATCATAAAGTGTTTTCTAAGTTCTGGTCCCTGCAGAGAGACATAATCACAAAGAATTTAGTTATAAGAAGAAAAAAAATAATAAGCCCAGCTCTCCCATAGTCTCCTCAGAAAACAGAAGACTAATAGAAAAACGTTCAGTCCTGAGCAGCTGCTGGCAGACACAGCCAGCCACTAATAACCCATCAAAATACAAAATACAGTGACTTCACAGCTGCCACTGCTTACCTTGCCCAAATGCAAATCTGCTTTCATGGGAAACTCGTCCAAGGCAGATGCTTTTATACAAAAGGAAGAAAGTATTAAAAGGAACCAGGGTGTTATGTAGAAATAAATGTTTGTAGAATTGGTAACTTTTTCTGGTATCTTTTGCCATCTATTGCCAAGTGAAATTAGGTCTTTTCCCATTGTATTGCATTAATTCTCTCTTTAAAAGGATATGCACTTAGGTATATATGTCAATATACAGAATGTTGCTTTTCCTCTTATCTATAAATTACATCTAAAATTACTGCAGTTGCAAGTGATGGGATGGAGTGTTGGTGGTGGTGCTTTCAGTGTGTTGTAGTCTACTGCTTTTGTGATTCTTTTATACAGCAAATGCAATATGTTGTTTGAAAGTAGAAAAATGGAACTATACAGATATAAATACTGGAAGTCCCACGCAGAAGCAATATCTCCATCTACTTCTAATAGCTAATATAAGCTGTTTGTGCCTCTCAAGCATCAGGAGATCGTACTTTCAAGGCCTCAAAGCAAAATACAATAGAGTTATTAAAAATTATTACAGTGTTAAATTATTTGGTCAAATTACATTAATATATTTATTCCCGTAATTTAATTATGCACATTTGGAGAAATTTATTTTCCCATTTTCATACCATCAACAAAATCTCATTATCTGCAGCATCTGTTCACTCTTTTTTTTCTTTAATATGTCACAGTAACAGAACATTACCTTTACTTAAATATTTAGACCTAGCAGTCAACTAGATGAAAAGTCTATTATTTTCTGTCTAAGTAGAGTTGAATGCCTGGGATTCCATTGAACTTTATCTGATTTTTTTTTTATCTTTATGAATAGAGAGTAATAATTCTATTATCAAATCATGACATGCAGTCAAAAGTAAAGTGTTATCACATCAACACTCCATTTATAAACAATTACATGTGCATTTCTCATACAGGACATTCACCACTGTAGACAACTGCAGACTTACCTTACAGTAGGTTAATCTGAATTACTATAAATTACTTAGTCAGTACTTAAAATAAATGTATTACACAGCAATTGTGACAGATTAAAACCTGGGGCCATCATTTCAGGATAAAGTTAATTGAATTTAAGTTTTCTAAATAAGTGCTTTCTTCATTATGTTAATTTTCATAAGTAATGTAAAATTATATATTCTTTCAGCTCAGGATGTTTGATGCAAACAACGATGGAAAGCTGGAGCTTACTGAACTGGCCAGGTATGTCTTCTGTTTCATTTCACAACAAATATAATGTACCAAATGCTCCAACGGAAACAGTTAAATATTTTCACCTTTGTTTTTTCTCTCCAAAGACTACTCCCTGTACAGGAAAACTTTCTTATTAAATTTCAGGTATGAATATTCACATTCTTCGGTTAACCTGTCACCATCACACATAACTGGTGTCATTAATGGATTTGTTTTCCTTTTGGCATCTAGGGTGTCAAAATGTGTGCAAAAGAATTCAACAAAGCCTTTGAGATGTATGATCAAGTAAGTCTTCAAAATATCTTTTTATTAATAGTGTAGTTTAATGGCACTTATTTTCAGAACCTGTGGAAAACTAGCCATAACCTCAGAAATGAAAAATAATTTTTTTAAATTATCTTTAATGGTATTTTTCAGGATGGCAATGGCTATATAGATGAAAATGAACTTGATGCCCTGCTGAAGGATCTCTGTGAAAAGAACAAAAAGGTAATCCTAGAGGACTTTTTCCCCTTAGAGATTAGATTTAATTTGGATTTTAAGGACACTTTAATCCATCCTAATAAGATAAATATAGAGCTTCTAAGTCATAATTCCTGAAGTCAAAGTACAACTAAAAATTGTGGTGGAAATAATAGCAGTGTAAATCCTGAACTAGGGAAGTTGTGATTACACAATGACACAGTCAAAATCTTGCTTACTTTTGAGACACTAGCTATCAGCAAGCTAACATATTGCTAAAACACGGATAACATACAAATAAATGACATTTCCAGTGTGCTACATTTGGACAGGCTGAGAATACCCTTTTTTTCTTTTTTTTCTGCCATTGGAAGTAAACTTGTTCATGCTGATAACTAAACAGGATTATAAAGCATTATCTGTTCTTTAAATAGGAATTAGACATTACCAACCTTGCAACATACAAGAAAAGCATCATGGCCTTGTCGGATGGAGGAAAGCTTTACCGAGCAGAACTGGCTCTTATTCTCTGTGCTGAGGAAAACTAGAGCTCTTCTATCATGTCCACTTAACTAGTGATGTACTCTACACAATAACTGTGCACTGTAAGGGAGTAGGCTGTATTTTTAAACTGCATATAGAAAATTAGCCAGGATGTGTGGCACATTCCTTTCAGTTTGTTTCTATACTGTTTGTAATGTACAGTTTTTGTAACAATAAGATTGATAAAGAGAATGTCTATGTTTGGGCCAGTCTTTCAAAAAGAAACTAAAATATGCCAGGGTTGGTTTTGGTTGGGTTTTTTGCTTTCATAAACGTGGCTGGATAAAAATTAAACCTGCTGACATTGCTGTGGTCATCATATCCTTTGACACTTGCAAGATTTCTTGTTGAACTACATAACAAAAAGATCTACAGGTATCTTTCCCATTTCAACTAAATGTGAGGTTTTTAAATATAACATGAATTCAGATTAAATATGATCTAGGTCCGAAAGAGGAAAGAGACATTGGCATGTCTGATTTCCAAAACTTAACAAGGCACTAAGAAATATTTTTAGTTGTCAAGCCACCCACTTACAGGTCTGTGCTCTCTGCAGTTTTACAATTACTCTTCTCATTATGAATTCATAGCATATAGACAAAGCATTTATCTGGAATAGATCTCCATGCAGTAGTTGATAAAAACATAGTGTTTCCAATTTAGCTGTTTTACTGAATTTAAACGTAGGCACTTCATAAATAAATGCCTTTAATCCATCTTGGAATCCTGGGTAAATGACAGGTAGTATAGTTAATACACAGATTAACATATGGTAAGTGTACCTTTCATGACTATTGCTGTGTCAGAGAATATGACAATCCATTTTCTAAACTATTTTCACATTTTGCAGGTTATAATTATTCTAGTAAATTGCTGTTTTTACATCATATTCTGTGTAATCTATAATTAAATTTAATATCCTAAGATTGTTGGTGTCTAGTTTGTGTATCTCCTGAATTCTTATTTCTGTATGATGTAAAGGACAAACTATTTTAAAAAAATGTGCCTCCTCGGATCTTACACTGAATCACTAGTCTACAAGAGTAGTATTAAAATTTGACACTAAATGAAAAAAAAATCAAAGATTTTATAACAATATAGTAATTTAGTTTACATGATGGGCTCTGCTTTTTATTATGTTAGAGATGTATTTTCTAAATGGGAACTATACTATGAAACAGCCCTGTCTTCTTGCATTTTTTTTTTTTTTTTTTTTTTTTTTTTTTTTTTTTTTTTTTTTTTTTTTTTTTTTTTTTTTTTTTTTTTTTTGGCCTGGCTCCCTTTTTAGTTTACACCAATTTTATGCCAGACAACTTCATGAATGTCCAGGCCATTGCTCTCTACTAGAGAAGGAAGGAAAGTGGGCTGTCTTAAGGCCAAGAAACCTATGCTGCCTCCATGTACAACTGCTTTAGAAGTAACTCCAGGTTAGCAGATTAGCTATGTGCAACTTCTCAGGTGCATCTCTGCACCTTATTTAACAAATGGAAGCAAATGCATTTTATTTGAAATGTGTCTCAAACAATTATGCTCAGATCCTTCAGTCAATGAACTCCCACTGAAATTAATCCTTGAATTCCTCAGGTGAACTCAGGCAACTAAATACCATTTCAGGAAAGGCTTAATGGCCTTGGGCTCTCTCCAGGCTGAGCCTTGTAAAGTTAAGGAGTAGGTGGTGCTGGATGGGGCCTTGCTGGCAAAAAAACACACAATGTTAAAATAAGGTTAAGCTAGCTCATTTTCACTGCTTTACTCCCACTCCATGCACAGTGATTTAACTTCTCACCTGCTTGTCTCTTTTCTCTATGCAATGTGAAATACAACTGTGTACGTTAAGTGAAGGAACAGTGAATCTGCCTATCAGTACAATAAATGATTGATCTTGTTCACATTGTGCACTTGAAACCCTGGATTTTGCTTTATTTTAAGAGTGTAAAGAAAAAACCCCAAATCTTATGGGTCAAAATATGATGTTTGCTAAGTGAAAGATAAAGCATTTAAAGTGTTTTGACAGTCACCACAGAAACTGAAATCTGTCTTCCTGAACATAAGTAAAGTGTCATATATCTGTTCTGAAGGTGCCCTTCTGCTACTGCTGCTGCCCACCAGCTGTCTCTGCTGTGGAGCACAACATCAAAAGAAGGTCTCAGTCACCCACAGACACTGTTTCCCACAGTTATTTCCCATACATAAAACCTGGACTAGAAGACAGCAATTAAAAACTGCAGTTCTAGCAATGGTGCCTACTGTGTCGGTGCGAAGTAAAGCCTGACAAGTATGGCTAAGTCAAAACTGCTCTAAAAACTCCAGGTTTTAAATTCTCTAAATCACTCCTGGGCAGAGCTTTTAAAAATGTCATGGCTGGGGCAGAATGAGGCTTAGGATAAAAAGAAAGGTGGTGAAAGGGAAGATTGCAAGCTTTTTTTTTCTGGTAGATATCTGGTGACCAAAGAAAAGTAAAATTGTAGCATGCACAAAGATGTAGTGCAAGTATTCCATATTCCAGCTAAACTGACTTACACAGGGTTACCTGGGTTCCACGTAATTGAAGCTGATAATCATTTTGTTGTCTAAAAATACATATTTTATTAAACATTTGAATAAGCATTCAAGCTAACAAAAACTCAAATTTTCCTACAAATTACACTTATGCTGTAAATAATATTAGTCTATTCTAGTTTAAATGTGTACAGATTAAAATTTAACACATTGCTAGGTATTCAAATCAAAGGAGGTGATTTTTGATTAATTTTAAAGCACAATCCAGCAAACTTTCACTAATACTGAAAGAAAAAAACAAGACCAGTAACTATTAGGCCCTTCATAAACCTTTGCCATTATAAACGCAGTGTTTGCTGACAGAAGTAAACCTTACCAGTACTAGGTCAGGCAAAGTGAGTGCCTACTTCTAGCTGTGCCCACACCACTGTCCATCAGCCCACCTCAGGGGTCACTAACTCTGCTCAGCTGACCATGATGGAGAATATCACGTGAATTTTCCCAGTGACTTAACTGGGACTGAACATAGGCCTTGAAGTAATTTAGCTTTTGTTAGTTCACTGCTGCACTGTTCTATCCTCAACAGTTCAAGCAAAGTACACAACACCGATCTAATCCTCCCTGTTTACAACTTAATTATGCATCTTTAAAAAGATTACCCACACAAACTTACATTTCAGAACTGCACATTCCATGGGCAAATGCCAAACACAGATCAGGATGCTGACAGTCAGCAGCGCTTTTATGCAAAATGAACCTCGCCAGTGAACAAGATACATGCACGCTGCTGCTGAACTCCACTTAAACTTGGATTAAGTCTTTGTTTCATTACACAAGGTTTGCTTTTTCTGATTTATACTAAGCCCTCATCATAATCATGGTTATAATCCCTGGTTGTGAAGGCAAACTGAAATCCTCGCTGACTTGCAGTGTCTATGAGGAAGCACAGAATCCCTATTCAGGCACCCAAATATACCTGGCCCAATTTCCTGAAACGCTGAGTGCTTCCAAATCCCTTTGAAATCCACTGAAGTTGAAATCCCAAAGACTCTTTTATTTTACTGCATATTAAATGATCACATAAAAGACTTGGTTGAAGTGGGATTATATGCCTAACAGTTACAACACAAAACGCTCCACATAGTCAGACAAAGGCACAAACTTCCTTACAATTCAGTGTCTTTACCTACTTGTTATCAATATGTGAAAAAAAAGTAAATATAAATGAGCAGTTCATATGACAATGAACATGGAAGCCGGTAGGGACAGGCAGGAAGACTCCTCAAATAGTGTGGTCATCTGCTTTCAAAGCAAATTCTTGAATTGGAAACCATTAGCAATAGTGTCAACAGTAACCGAAATATTTAAGAGGATCGAATTGCCAGAAATAGAAGAACCAAACACTGAGAGCAGTTCTAGTATCACAGTGAAGAGGTAATACAACTGCTCTCTTTAATTTGCAACCTTAAATGATTTTTATAACCTGTTTATAAGCCTCTACTATAGCACAATACTGCCCTTACAGCATTGAATTAATCTAAGAAATTGTAACAGACAGGTTTAAAGACAGTAAATCATCAGCAGAAATAAGAGTAATTTCAAAATTTAATCAAGCAGACAAGATGTACTTTTCAGTTGAATGCAGACAATGAATCTCCTTTGTGGGTGTCTCTAAGTTTAATTCATGGAAGTGATAACACCTTTGACTCTTGGGTCTTGCAAAAGTCGTTTGAAAAAAAAAGGTTATTTGGATTCCAGAAAAGTTTTCCTTATTATTCATGAAAATTAAACTGCTTCTGCAACCCTACTGACACGTGTTAAAATTTCCAATGGATCACCTTTTCTGATGCATTCCTGCACCTTCCTGTCCCTCCAATTTCATCTCCATAAAACACTTACGCCACATACTTTTTTTCCACACTTCTCTTTACATTGTAGCTCACTGGCAATCTCAGATAGGGTGAGGAATGTAACAATCTCAGGGCAAATATGCTAGCCCAAGACAGCGAGTTTAATGTGGACACTATCTCCTGCCAGCTTTGCTACATCTGGAATAAAGCAGCTGTGATGACTGTGAGTTACATCAGTCTGTGTGCAACACCCAGCTGTGGAGCATGCTTATGGACTGGGCACTTCTTGGATTTTTGAGATCTTTAATGCCTTTTTCAGGACAGTCTCATTCTCACTAGCATTAAGAACAAATTCTTATGGGATTTTCACTTGCTATAAAGGCACTTGCTCTTCTCTTTTCCTGAGCTCAGATGTCATACGTTGCTCCTTTATTTATACATTAAATTGTATTAGGCAAAACAAAAACTTGAAATGTTTAAGAGATGTTTAAGAATTTATGTCATCATAGTAATGTTCTTTTCCTGTACCTACCAAGTCTTAACGAAAGAAATGCATCCCATTCTCCTGCTTAAGTCGATGACAAAATCAGAGTTTTTTCACTTAACTAAGTCTATATATTAGGAAATATTTTGTAAACTATCCAGTAACATATAACTCTTAAAACATTATATGCCAAATCTAAAACCAGCATCAACACATTGTATACATCTTGTAAAGACTGAATGTTCAGACACTAAAAGCAACTAACTTGTGCAGTTTGAAATGGATGTCAACAATACAGGCAACATAAAAGAAAGTCTATTCTTACTATAGATGCTCATTAAAGTTTAAAATGTCTTTTCTGGTTCCATCACTGAATAACATATGCTTTAAAAACATTTTGTTGTCACATTACAATTAATAATTCATTTAGCTATGAACAGTAAACAGGTAGAAAATGATACTTCAGAAGAAATACCCATTTCTGCAAATGAAAAATGTTCTGTTATTGAATAAATCCCCAGTATCTATTTACAAGACAAGCTTTAAGAGGCCTCCTTCAACATTTTGACCTTACCTGATAAAGCAAAACCTGCTATCCTTAAAGGGTATGTTGCAGTAACTCTGATGGTTAAGGGAGTGAAACTTCTCAGTGAAAGGTTCAATATGAACCTCTATATGAAAGTGAGTTTCTTCTAGATGCAAAGCTGGCCTTAATCTCTCTGATGAGTAAAACAACAAATGAAAAAGATGTTTTCCTTTTTAATTTTTAGATCAAAAAGCAGTATTAATTTTAAACTGCAAAAGCACTTGACATTCTTTAAGTACTTCTACATAGGAACCCACTGCCATTTGCTGCGGAAGAGAAACATCTCCAAAATGAGTTTGCTTTCTTCCAAGTTTGCTTTCTAAACAAAGGACACACCATGCACAGCCCAATTCCAGAGGATAACCTACTAAATACTGCAGAGAAAAATACTTGATGTTACCACAGCTCACAAACATATCTTTGAATTTTTTTTCTGAAACACTTGTCTTTCAAGTGTCAAAATCTTATATGCAACTGTGTCCCATACAAAGAGAAAATATATATAAAGCACGAGCAAAAACCAGTAGATATGGGCCTAACTTCTGAATTAAATCACTTTTTTGAGGAAAAGACAGGGATATTATGTCAGAATTCAATCTTGACAGTAGGTCTACCAAACACAAGATCCTACAGAAAAGTTTTGCATTATGCTCAATAGACACCTGAAGGCTGCAATGATAAACACATTTGCTTTGTTTTATTATCACTGCTAGATATGCTATTCAGTCCACCATGGGACCACCACTCATGGGAGAAAGCTGCCACATGGAAGCCTGCACTAGTGTAGTCCACACTTTAGGCAGAACACATACTACCTTGCTTCAAATTCGTAATAAGGCAATCAAATGACTTCAAAGTCAGACGTTGGTATGTGTAAGTATGTCCTAGATTGTGAGGAAAAAATACATGAGCACCGCCAGCACCTGGAGGAAGACATTCTTGAACTGCTTCTATGGTCTGGACCTTAAATCACCGTGTCAGTCTCAAAGCATACAAAGCTAAGTCCACACTTGTGTGCATTGACAGGCTGGAACTCTGGTTAAACACCAAAAACAAAGCAAGGAAGAGCATTGATTTCAGGCTGTTAAGGCCAGAGCCTGACAATTTCTTTGAAGAATTCCAACCACTGTCTGAAGCAGGAGGGAAAACAACTGGCAAGTCCCTAATTTGGAAAATGTAGTAATACTAAAAGAGGGACAGCAATTTTTTAATAAACTGCTTATTTGGGATGGACAAACTGACTAGATAAAGAGGTAATGTCATCTGAAAGTTTCTTTAGTACAAGCCTGTGAATGCAAATGAAACCTAGGGATTTTTTCCAAATCTCAACAAATGAGGTAGCAACACTTTCAGTCCCAATTTACCCATGTCCATTACCAGCCTTATCTACACCACTTTTTATGGAGAAACCCCACTAGTCACACACATATGTTAATAGCAAATGATTTTTAGTTTCTCATTTTCAAGAACACTGTTAATCATTACAAAGAATGAGCTCCTTAGAAAGGCATTTCATGTCCTTAAATGCCATTTTTAAAGTTCAGCATAAGCTAATTAACAGACTGAAAATGTCACAAAAGATGAGACCAAGACAGTCAGACATTTCAAGATTTTGTAAGGAACCACAAAAGTTACATCGCATCTCAGTGTATTTAGTCCTGATAATAACTTGAAACTTTACTCATAAGTTTAGGACTCTTTATTAAGTGTGAAGATTAGGACTTAATTTTTTGGGGTTTTCTTCAGATTAATAATCACATTCTGTTATGACAGTGCTGAAATGCTATTAAAATGACAATATTAAGAGACACTTGCACACATCTGAGGAAAAAATCCTCTGAAACATTAAAAAAAAAAAAAAGCTAACTGTAGACCACGGTTGTGGAAGACAATCCGAAAAACAGTAAAATTTCAGGCACCAACTGTTGTTTGCTACTGGCAACAGATTACATTTTAGATGGGAAAAATACACAAGCTATATTCAAAATACAACGATTTCAAAATATTTTATTAAAATTAGCATACAAAAGATTTTGAAGGCTATTTCTCAAATGGTTATTTATAAATATTATTGAAAAAGTAGTGGTTCATTTCCAATAATCTCCACCATATAGTTATGCACTTTAAGAGCCTTTTGTTTTTCTAATCATTGCTTCCATCATATCCCACTGCTCTTTGGTAACCTAATAAAAGAAAAAGAGCATTTTATTGGAATTCCATATAATAATTACACATCTGAATGTTTGAATGTAAAACAGCAAGAAAGGAAATTAATACCTTTTTCAAATCATTGAATTCTCCTGCCATAGAAACATATTCTCCACCATCCATTCTAATAACCTAGAAAAAACATAAACAGTGTATTTAGTAATAGTGGGTTTTCTGTAGTCTTCCCTTGTTATGAACTGTGAAAGTAATTTTTATTGATTTGGGTGAGAAAACCCCATGGTCAAAATAATGCAATTCACTCACTATTAAAAGTTCTGTTTAAGAGTACTAACTACCATGCACTACAATTAAAAGGTGAAAAATACTTGTAAAGGATTTCAAAGTAAGATGTTTTGCTTAATTTTTGAAACCAGTGCTTTAAATAATATCAGCAAAACTCACACCATCATTGAGTTAATTGCATAAATGAGATCAACCAAAACTCACTGCTCCATTAACCCAGCTTGCATAGTCACTGCAGAAATAGGCAGCAAGATTTGCAATTTCTTCTACAGTTCCCAGACGACCACAGGGAATCCTCTCAATCATCTTCTTCTCAAATGTGCCTGTTGGGTCAAGGCGGCTGAAAGCACCCTGAGAATTAAGAGAAACATAAGAAAAAAATTTATAACTACACCAGAAAATAAAATCCAAAGGAGATTTGACTCCACAGACACAATATGGAAGTTAACATTTGTAAGCCATCTACACCCTCTTTGTCAGTACCGTGAACAAGTAGGGAGTAGGAAAGAGAAAACAATTTATCCCTGTTGCACTGATATACTCAACCATCATCTATCTAGGAAACACATATGGGAATAATGATCTTAATTTCTCAAACACCCTTGGTAAACATTTGAAGAAATAAGCAAGGCTCAAAATTGCTGCAAGGACAGAGGAGAGGAATCAGGGGAGAAAAGAGAAGGAAAGTGGCCAGAACTGAATTATGTATGACAGAGTAAATAAAAGGGAAAAGAAAAAAAAAATCATTTAAACCACTTAACGATAAGAATCTATAAATGAAGAGATCTCACGATGAGATACAGTGGATGACAAACATTTATATGGATTCAAAAAGGAACAGGACAAGTAATGGAAGAATAAAATCTACCAAGATAACTGCAATATGAAGAGACACCAACTGTATCAAACTTCCCAGAATCCTAGAGGCTGATGACACAAGCAGAAATGTCATCACATGTTTTTCTTCTACTCTTGCCTAAAAATCTTCAATATACAAGACCTGGAGGACTTTTGATCTTATCTCTTTCAACATTCTTATAATCCTGCTGATTCTGCCACTTGTTTTTCTTTAGAGTCAAACAAGTTTTAACAAAGTTGTACAGCATATCTAAAACTGAGGAGAAAAGGAAAAAAAAAAAAGAAAAAGGTAAAAAGAAAAGCAACTCTGCACCCCTAACCCCAAAATAACAGTAAAACAAACTGTGAAACATTTTACAAGTAGTAGCAATACCATTATATTAGCTGTTACTGCTCATAATTGTAATAATTTGATTCAATGGGAAACGGATCCTCCTCTCTCCTCCTGCAGGACTGCTTTCTTTATTCTTCCTGTTCCAGCTGGTCTGGATTACTTCCTTCAAACCCTCCAGTCCTCCTTTCCACTCACATCAAAGGTTCTCGTTTCCTTGCCAACCTAGTTTTTCTAGTTTTGAGATTTTCAAAAAAACTAGTGAGATTCTGTTCTCATATACCTAAAAAAGATTCTGAGATTTTGGAATTCACATTTTGTCTAATAATTAATTAGGAGTTCAGGCAGAAACAGGCACTTTACTCCACCACATGTCCAAATTCACTTCACTTGACAAACTAAGTACGAAGAGTTGATAAGAATCAATGTTAAGTATTTTGATACACAAATTCTTTGAAACACTAAAAAAGGTTCAGTTTGTATCAGCTGTAGTACAAAGGGCAGTGGCAGGTTTCTGAAGCTCAAGAAATCCTAATTTACAAAAAAATCTGAGTGAGAAGCATGTTCAATATTCCAGCACAGTCTTGCCTACTAAGGAAGTCATAATTGAATTTAACAGCTATAGAAAAGGTTAGACTATGCTAAAGTTAAGTCTGTACTACAGAGCATATTCAAGGCTGTTTTTTACTTCATGCTATGTACCTTTGTTTTTATTGGACCTGGTTGAATCACATTGAATCTCATGCCATATTTACCCCATTCAGCCGCAAGAGACCTAAAAATTCATTAACAGAATGCATCAGTATTTTAAACACAATATTTTAACAAACCTATTCAGAAAAAAAACCAGAAGAATTTTCCTGAAACAAGCATTTCTACTTAAAGGCTTTTTTCTTGTCCTTAACAAAAACATTTCAGAGAGGGAAAAAAAAAATCACATTCACAAATAGGAATATTGATTTAATAGATGCATCATAGATAAAGCAGAATTAAGGAGCAAGTCTTTCTCCCCTGCAAACAGATGATTTCAGCATCTAAATTCCTTGACAAACAACTGTTAGGCCATCATCTTTCTCTGGCCATTTAGACTATCCCACAAGTATACTTTTCTAACATTTTCAACATATCTCTAACATTGCATGTTTTGAAATAACACTAAACAGAGGATACATTCTAAAATGAGACCACTAGAATGATTTTGCTTTATGACATTTTGTCTGCATAACAATTATTTTGGATAGATGGTTTACTATGGTGAAATTATTAGCTGGGTCATAAAGTCTCTGAAAAGTACACATTTCAGTTACAGCTCTATAGAACAGAAATCAAGACCATTATTCAGCCCTTTTTTTTTTTTTTTTTGGATAAAGCATTGTAGCAGTAAGTTTTCTAGCAGAAAGCTGCCAAACTGTTAAATTCCTTCTGCTGAAGTGCAGAGGAAGATCTATGTGCTACAGACTAGCCTGAAGTTAATAATGAGAGAAATTCTTTTGTTTGCTGAGTAATGTGAATACCTTACACAACACTGATGTCAATTAAGTATAACTGCAGACCTTAATTTAAAACAGTTACATGAAACAGATTTCTTGATGAAACTAAACAGAGGTGAAGCCACAGTATAGTGCACCCAAATGCAAGCACATCTGTTCCTGAGACAGAAGAACATGCAATGTACTATAGACCTTGAACAGTTCCCCTAATAACTGTCTTAAAGTGCTGGTTCACCTATGAGAACATGAGAGAACCTGACTATCAAAACTCTTTAAACTGAAACTTTGGAACTTGCCAAAAGTCGTAGTAGTCCTACTTGTCTGTATCTTTACCTCCTGATAGAAACTATCATAATAATAACAGTTAATACTGTTTTCTGTAAGAAGCTGTCAGCATGATAAGATATTGCTAAGGTAAGACTGGACCTTGAAAGGATCTTTTATGGTACAATGGAATAGGAGGATTATACCAACTAGCTCCATTTTTACACAACAATTACTCTACCTCAAGGATGTGAAAACCAGAACACATATTTTGCTATATTACTTACTTGCTCATTGCTTCTACACCAGCTTTGGCAGAGGCACTTGGCAACACAAATCCTGAACCACTCTCTGCATAAATTGTTGTAATAGCCAAGAATGCTGCTCCTAGAAGATGCAAACACGTTTTAGAAAAATCCCACACCAAAAAAAAAAAAAAAAAATCACAGAAGATCAAACTCTGAACTTAAGGTAAAAGTAACATCAGTGGTACAGAAGTTAGCAGCTCAAGTGTTAGGGATGCCATTTCACTCTGAGTTGCGAAAAGGCATTTTAGAAATATAGTCTAGGAAGCTTTGTTTTCAAAACTTTTTATTTCAGTTCCCTCTTTTGCAAGACTTTTAACAATTGTTTGAGGCAAGTGTAAATAGCTATTGATTAGGCTCCAAAGGTCTAAAGCCTCACACTTCTATTGATAATGAATTTAATGCACAAATCAGTTTGTATGGGGTGAAGGCCTAAGATATTACATTGTTTTTTCAGAACCTGCACTAATCTAGTTGTCAGTAACCACATATTTTGCCCTAATTTCATCAGTTCTTGGGGGGGGGAGGGGGAGGGAATCAGCATTAATGATTAAGTTTGGCATAATCTTTAAATGACACAGTTGAGGCCTTGAGTAAAAGTTTATGCAGAAAAAAAATAATTTTTAAGACATTTTGAGAAACTTTTTCTGCAGAGAGCCTATTATGAAGTTAACCTGCATAACGTTCTCCATTATCACAACAAACTCCGTTATAAAAAGACTACTTTCTTTTATATGCTGTATTTTGTAACAGATTTAGCAAAAAACATTCTGGAAAATAACAGAAACTGCAACTGTTCATTTAATATTTCTTTTATAGAATCCTGCAAATTCTGTCTGGTCAATGACTAGCATGAGCTTCCTGTAACCAGTAAGTGGAGGACAAGGGATGACAGTTCACTACTTATGCCACAGTAACTAAAATAACTGTTCTACTTTCTATATTTTAAAAGTAATTTAATTAGAATAGCTATCCAGGGGATATTTCTAAAACAATATACATCACTGATAGACTGTATGTGAAGTAGAGACTCAGGTGAAAAATTACAGCGTTACACAAACAAAACTAAAAAGAACCATAAACAAGCATTGATTGAAATGCCAGCAGATATCCAGAAACCCTGGGCCCTGCTTATAAAAATGTAATCTACATTGAGAGACTCTGAAAAGAAAAATCAACACAAGGAAAAAAAAAAACACAGAATAACTGTGAAGTTATTTAGAGATGATTGTTAATTATACATTTCACAGAATTAAACCATAGTTTTTTTAAAAGGTTAAGTAGAGGTAAGTGAATCTAATACAGAAGCAAGAATAACTGATAAATTTACAGCTCTGAAGTTTAAAGCACACTTCAGTTCATACATAACTTTTATTTGTAAAGCCTATATTCATAAAATGGACAATAACTGAGCAATTAACTTCTCCCACTTTGTACATATTAGTAACACATAAGCAGAATAAAAATTTCTTTTAAATATCAGCAAAAATTTGGGAGTCTAAAAGCAAAAAGTTGTATTATTTACTACATTAGATTTAATGTAGGTCATGCTGCAGGATGTGCCAATGTTTTAGAAACTGTCAGATTCATAGTATCCTTACAGACTGCTCTAAAACATTTGCATTAGTTAGCATCACCATCACATCAGAAACTAAGGTAGGTGCTCAAAATTTAAAAAGCAATCAAGTAAGAAAATAGAGAATGAGAGGACAAATAGGTACACTTGATTTACTTGCAAAAATATGTCTTAAAGAAAGCCTTAAATAAAAAGTCTTACTTACAGATGGAATCCCCTAGAAAGAAGGCATGCAAGTAATACCAAAAGAAATTCACATGTTTTATAAGCTTAGAAGCGAAAGGAAGAGAGATGACATGAAGGTGAATAACTTCTGAATTTGACCAAACATGAGGATGGAAGAAAGGAAAATAGTTTTCTGTTCAACAACAGCAAAGACAAAAGCATGTTTGAAGCCATATTTCACATTACTATACAGGGACACTGCATAAACCTGGAAGGCCATAAGGCAAAGTATTACACTGGTCTGCTATAGTTATATAGTAAGTCAGAACTGGGGATGGATTTTTAATGTGGGAATATCAACACTAGAATGATGGAATGATTTTTTCATGTGCTGCTAAAATATAGGAGGGACATACCTATACACTAACAGAACCTGTTACAGACCTACCAAAATAACATTAACTTTATATTGCTATAACTAAATAGTATAAACTCAGTGAGTACTTTTTGGAGAGAAGCTTTGAAGAAATTCAACTAATTCAGAGGTTAGAGAAATACAGTGCAAATGCAAAAGTATTACTGCAACACAATGGCTGTACCTAGAAAACAAGATTCAAAAGTGAGGGCACACAGAAAACTGTAATATAGCTACTGCTTTTAAACGAATTTGAGATTATGTAATTCTGATCAAAAAATAAACTCATTGCTTTTCAATTTGTAACTGGAAGATAATTTAAAATTGAAAGCAGTTCTTTGTATATAATCTATGCTATAACACAGAAGAGCATACATTATCTTTTCCTTAAAGACAATAATCTGGTAAAGCAAATCTTTGGCTAAATAGTATAAAAAAAGAACTGTCATATTTTTAAGTTAAAGCTATGATACTTGATTAAACTTCTAGGTAGTCTAGAACTAAGAATTACACCCAGGAAAATAAAACCTAACACTGGTTTAAATTTTGAAATTATTTCTCAAATTATCTCGAAGCTAATATTCTCTACTACTATTTGTCAAATAGCACAGTTGTAAATTATACTTATTTAAGTGTAGGAGGAAATTTCAAGGGGATATCCTGACTTGCTGTTCATTTAAATAAATACCCCATGTTCAGTTGCTCAATGAATCCATCACAGACTTAAAAGGAATAACGGCATTTGTTTTACACAAAGCCTTTTTTTTTTTTTTTTAGTTTTAAAAACATTTTACAACTTGAACTCTGTAATCCCATTTTTATATTCAACCTCATGGCCTCTGGATCCAATTGTAAGGCCTGATGCTACAATGAAATAATTGTTAGCCAGTGTAATACTTACAGCTTTCACTGAAAGTGAAGTGCCTTTCTAGGAATGTTAAAAACTGCACTTCTTTTCCAACTACTATAATAATGGTAAGGCAAGGTAAGTAAGTAATAACATGTCACAATGCTTAAGATACCTTTTTGGGCTTTAATGAGCTCCTTTCCGACTTCCAGAGTTACAAAAGCAGTACCATTAAGCACGATATCAGTTATTGTTCTCCATGCATTAGCAGAAAGTCGTTCAGAAGGTGAAATAAAGTTTCCAGCTGCATTGTTTATCACAACCTGAAAAAAGGGAAATTTGGAAGTTAACTTAAAAGAACTGCTCCTGAGACAAAAGCAAAGAATTTACAAGGAACTTCTTAGTGTATCCAGGTATGAAAGCAAAAATATCCTCATCAAATGAGGTACAGAGGTTAGGGAGAGAGAGAAAATAATCCAATCAGAAATTTTAAAATCTGCAGCACAGATATGTATCAGTAAGAGAAAATGAGCTGTATTTCCAAACTACTGTCATTACTAGTTTAGTACTGAGGAACAGTAAATGTAGAGGGTGACTTAAATCTCTGTTTTCCACAGTATCTCAAGCACATCCTAACAGAAAAGTTTGTCCCCACCAAGTTCCAACATCACATATGTTGGAACAATATTATGGATGCATGGGAATAAAAGCAAAAGAAGTTCAGGCAACTTGGTAACTAAAGTCTGGATTGGCTGACTGTTGCATAACAGGAAGTCAAATCAGTCATGACAAGGAGATTGTGATACAGTGTGCCACAAGCAACTGCTACAAAGCTTTCACTTAATAGAAGTACATCCCTCACTTCCTGCCTTTCTATAAACAATGATTAGGCTGAGGATACTTTCACTTTATCATCTGCTTAGCCCTTCAAGCCAGTAAAGAAGACAATGTTTCCTTAAGGGGACTAAGCGTCACATAAGCAGTTTTTAAACCAAAACCTATGTGGCAGATCCTGTATATTTAGTAATATAATATGCTGAAGCAATAAAATGGTCTATTGGTTAAGGAATGGCACCTTGATTCATGTAGGTTTGCATGCAAAACAAAGTCCTGAGGAACTTCCAGACTAAATCAAGACATTAGAATTTTCAGTAACAAAGCAGAGCACAGCACATATTACATAAATATAAAACTAATAATATACAACAGTCATAAATTATACATATAGATAGTAAATATAATTTAAAGGCCTCCCTGGAGTTATGAAGAAAAAAAAATCCAAACACCTCAAGATACTGAGGCGGTTATCTGAATCACTGAACAAATACAGCAAAGACATCATAATAAAACTACTGAACTAAGGACTGCACAATACAATCTTTGAGATATACAGGACTGAAAAAATAATCCATGGCAAAAAAATTATTGCTTTCTAATTGGGAGTAACAGTCTTAGAATGAAGAAAGCAAATCTACAAGGACTATCATACTGCCATTAACTTCTATTTTTAAGACCTCACCTCACATGTACAGTGGCAGGGAGTGATACCCAGGCTTGCAGTATTCATAAATTTACATCTCATGTCTGTCACTAAAAGAAAAACTGGATAAAAAGAACTGAACATTCAATTTACTCTGCAGTCTATCTTAAACACACAGATTATGTGAAATTAAACATAAAGTAAATGCTCATAAAGAACAAGTCATGGGAAGTATTTATTCAGAAAACTACTGGTGTACTAAAAATGTAATATATGGGAAGAAGTCTCCCCCCTCTCTGCACACACTTAAAATCTGGAGATCATAATGTGTTTTGGCCAAAAATGGCATTTAGCAGTAGTTAAAAAAATCCCAGAGTATCTTGTCTACAAATCAGGACAGTGAGCTGCCTTATTTCTGGCACTGTTATAGTAAACAGCTGCAAGAAATAGCTTCTCCACTTCTTAATACATTTAGAATTCAGTAGTTTCTCTACCACATCTATAAGAAGCTCTTGGTGAGTGCAAATTGTCTACAGAACACATAACAACAATTCTAAATCTACAGTAAACAGTTTTAAATCTATCCTTTACAACAATGTTGACAGCCTCATCATACTTCCTATCAGCTAGTAGGATCAAAGTTGCTATCTCACAATCAAACCAAAATTTGGTGCCTATCATCCTCTGGACTCCACCAGACCACTCTTCTCAGAGTCTGATGTAAAGAGCCCTGTGTTTTGTGCCAAACTATTAAAAAACAGATGCTTAGCTTGGCTGAAGACTTTTTTCTTGATTTTATGAGAAATTAGTCTTCAAGTTTGAACTTCCTTTGTGTATATTAATAAGCCTAAGCAAGGATCAAAGATGATGTTTATGGAAACTTCCATTTCTAATTTGTGAGACATTCTGTTAATAAGCAACAGGTGCAATTCAGTAAACACAGATAAGTCTACTTTTCAGGAAGGTTTAATATTCTGTTCACTTAATTAATGGAAAGAATCCCATCAGAATTGTCCTACTGTTTAAAAGAAAATGTTAGTCCTCAGTAAAGACAACAATGTTTTGTCTACCTGCTCTCTAAGTATTTTAAGAACCATAGGAATAGAGTAACCAGTCTGACTATGAATCTTTGCTTTACCTTGAAGTACTGTCACTGTTCAGTCTAGTGTCTCTTTAGATTCCACTAACTTTCTAGCATAGTTGTTTTCTTCATACCTACTGTGCAGAGTATTTTCAGTAATGAAGTTCTTTCCTTTCTCTAGAACACTTACATCAGGATGTCCTGCCACTTGGATTGCTTCAGCAACAGCATTCTTAACTGAAACTGGATCTCTCACATCACACTGGATGGCATGAACCTGCATAATAATGGAAAGACAGTTGTTAGTCTTGAAAACTATGTCACTCATAAGCTAAACAAGTCCACAGAAGCAGATAAATGCAAAAAAATTCTATGAAGTATAATAAGTAACATACTCACAATGCCTTAAAAATTTACCTTATTCCCTGTTTTAGAAGAAATTTCTTCTGCTGTTCCTTTCAAAACATCAAGCTTCCTAGAAAGTAGACAACATCCCTTATTTCAGTTAAATGCAATTACCACTCAGATTAATAAACTCTCATTAATTTTCTGAGCAAGTATGAGCTATTACTTAAAAAAAAGTGTTTGTGCAACATGCACATTGATGATTTTTACAAAAACTGAGCTTTAAGATTAAGACTGTTTAGACAATAACTTTCTGAAGGAAAACTTTAAGTAATTTCTTGTTAGTGCTACTTCAAAGCAACTCAGAAGTGACTACAGTAGGAGACTATCTGAAGCTAATTGCATGTCACAAGCTAGAAAAAGGATTTTATTTCAGAATGCACAATCATCATGCATAACTTAGCACTTTACTAGCATTAGCATTAATAAGAGATGCATATTGAGTTTAAAACTAATTAAACCACTGTTTGGATGAATGTCACAATGCTTCTGTTTATTTTGATTAAAAATGAGATTTTTTTTTTTTTTTGGTTTTACTGCAGTACTACTTAAAAGAGCTATAAAGAGACCATCAAGGGAAAACCAGGGTTCTTATTAAAGTCAGAAGAGGAATCGTTTTAACTCTTTATTGTGATTCAAATATGTATCAAGAACACCTGTAGTAATATATTAAAAATGTTTGATAATGCCCACTGCAATTTTTTGTTCCCCTTAAGGCTTTAGCTGAATTTATGACTAATATTCAGGGTTGACTATTTTGCTCCCACATTTCATGGAGAAGTATTTGGTTTATTTATTCCTACTGTTTTTTACGCAAATAGACATCTGTAGATGGATCTGCAAGTTTCTAGAATCTAGAATATGACACTATAATTTGAAAGCGCACTGAAGTGGAACAAATACAATAATTTTTTTCCAGTTTATGAAGAAAAAAACAGATCTATTCAGTATTTGGTACTAAATGAAAGCTCTAAAACATCTTCATTAATATTTACCGGCTTGCTATAACACACTTGGCACCTAAACTGGACAAAGCTGTTGTCATCCCTTTGCCAATCCCAGTACCTCCACCAGTTATAAAGGCCACTTTTCCTTGGAAGGTATTTGGTGGCAACATCACTTTTTGAAGAGGTGAAAAGAATGCAGCTTGTGGTGCACTGTTGTCTTGATGCAGCACATTTGGCCCACGGCTGAAAAACTGAAAGAAATTAAGAGAAAAGTCAGTTTTGTCTCCTTTCTCTATACAGGACTGCTATGCAAGATCACATTTTCTTGTGCCAGTGGAAGTAACAACCATAACTGCCTTAATAATAAACTGAATGTATGAATGACCAGACTGTTTTATAGCAACACACACAGACCTTCACTTTGATGCTAATACTAGACTAGGAAAGCACTTGAGCTATTTTTAGATATTCCACTGCAACTAGAGTACTGAAAAAATATTTTAACCAAGATTCTTGCTATTTTGTGCATTTTTGTATCTATAGCTTTTACTAAAACATGTGGAAAACAACTACCAACCAATTACTGATTCCCAGTAGGATTTGGGCTTCAGATTCATATCTGCACTGAATTTTATGTATAAACAAATCCACGTGATTTTGAGCCTACATCTCTATATATTTAAAAATTCAAAAGCTTTTGATCCTTTACTATTGCAGACAACAAAATCGTCTTCTTTACTGGAGAATGGGACAGAATCAAACTCCACAAGACTTGTCCCAGTTGGTACCGGAGCTGCTAATCAAACCAATGCTTGGTTTGACTGGTCATCTCCCAGACAAAACTGAGCGAGGTTAGGTTACAGCATCGAGCTCTGTCCCAGCAGAAAGACCATTTACAGTAAATTAGCCTCTCAAGAATTGGTCCCTGCAAAAAGACACATTTGGAATGTGTTTAAAAACACACATGAAAGCAGAAGAAAATTCAGTATTACACCTAGCAAACTATACCAGTAAGAAAACATCCCACTAATGCATTGAGAAATCTGAGATGTCACCAAGAAAGTCAACAAAAACAGCTAAGAGGACATTTCTAGCATCCCAAAGCACAAAATTAATTCAAGTCCTAATCTAATGACAGAAATAAATGCTTTGGGTCAGCAGCATTACAGTAGTAATTCAGAAATTCTCTTATTATTTAGAATACAAAAATTACCTTAACCTGAAGCTGCAAACACTTTCAAGTATAACAAAACTAGATTTGACTTTTTTACTTGCAAAAAATTAGAAGACTGTAAATTATATTTATTTTCTCTAATAATAACCTGTACTTGAGCCATAATGTGTTTATTTTAATACAAAAGAAATTCTAATACAATTTCAGGAAAGAAGACTGAATGGTTACTCTTGTATGATATTGCTAATAAAACATACAATTGTTCAATTCAATTCAGACTGACACGAAGAAGAAAGGTTGTTTTAAAATTGTAAAAATATTACAACTTATTATTCCATTTAGTAACATTTTCAACACTAAAATTAAGAAATAACATTTTTAGTGGTGGACAATTAATCCGTACATGCCAAAGCTACAATGCACCGGGGGTTTCATAGGACTTAAATATGGCCTGAGAAAGTATGCATGTGAATCTTTTTGTGAAGTAATACATCTGCATAAGTAATACGAGTGAAAACAGAGAGAATAATCAAGGAATTACAGTGACAATTGAATGGAGCCTAAAGCATGATGCTAATAACACCAAGGCTGCCGGTTCAATCCCAGCACAGGCCATTCACTTAACAGTAGGACTCGATGATGCATGTGGGTCCCTCCCAACTCAGAATATTCTGTGAAAAACTAAGATTGAAGAAGAGTTGTGGGTGCTATGTAGAACAAAATTCAGAAAGTAAAACTTGAACTAAAGCTAGAATTATCACAAAAGTAAAACAGTGCAGTAAGTCCTACAGCATTTGTATCAACTGTGTACTTAAAGGAATTCTTTCTGGGACTTGGGCTCTTCTTCTATGTGCAATAGGCCTGTCAAAAAAACTAAAAACCAAACAAACAAAAAAAGCAAACAAAAGGTAGTTCTGAGGACCACAAGTAGACCAAAAGGAAAACGTGAAGAACATTACATTTATCTGAAATAATCCAGTTCTTCAGATCAGATCCACTACTAACAAAATTGTAGAGTTTGTAAAATATGGATTTTTTTTTTTTAATTCTATTTAAAAAAATTGCATACTGTGACAGAGTACCACAATATTACTAAGCCTCCAGAAAAGGGAAGTATGAAGGTTCTCTCTTGGGACTTTCTTAGTTCCCTACTCATCCCTCTTCAGGAGAAAAGTTCCCCCTGGAGAACTTCAGCTGAAGGCAGAGACTGCAAAGCAAGACAGCACTTGGACTCCCTCTTCCTTCAGGATAGGGACATAACCCCTAGGCAGTACTGAGACTCCCTGATCAGGCGCTCTGCTAATGACAGACACACCCCACTGGTCTTGCTCACCACTGCAGAAATCATGCAAGCAGCTTTCCTTCTGCTCCAAGGAGGAAGATTAGGAAACAGGCCATACCAGGGGCTGGCAGAAGACTGCACCAAGACTAATAAAGTGCTGTAATCCAGCAGCCAGTGAAATTGGTATAATTCTATAATTCAGCAATCTTTTCATAAGACAGCTATTGTCTCATTACTAGCTTGCACAAGGGGCTTCTATGACAGGATGCACTCAATTTAATCATTCTACTATTTAAGGTCGAGTTTTTAAATTATGCCTCAAGTGTAAACAGAGATATAAAGAAGCCAGGAAACTGCTTCAACAAAACCAAACAAAACAAAACAAAACAAAAAAAAAAAAAAAAAAAAAAAAAAAAAAAAAAAAAAAA